CAGATCACCATTAATGCTACACATTCAGTCATAGCAGTTTAACAATTCTACATTAAGGATCCCATATTTCTGACACAAAGGGCCACCACTACATGTCAATGTCAATATGTGACTCCATATTTCTTACTGTTAAGAAGGCAAGCTCTGCATAGGACCTTACTACTGCCTGACTCCTGAGAAACCATCTATACCAGACCTTTGTTCCTTTCATTTGGAGCACTAAGTGATATCCCACTACTACTGACACTTAAGTTACTGTTCCCACCTACTCAGCCAATGACACTCTTGTAGCTCTTGAACCTTATCTGTGTTGTATTTTCAACTGTTCCAGAGAATCTGTTCTCAGCCATGATGCACTTCTTTGACAGCAGGCACTTGTAAATGGGCTGATAGTTTTTTGACCACTGGCACCCCACTCAAAAATTAATTCAGAAAGATTTCTAGTTTCTCCTTCCTCAGTTTCTCCTGTTGCACAAACTTTTGTAATGCACTTTCCCTTTACGGCTGCTCCCTGGGTGTTGGTGAAGATGAAAAGAGTAGGAGTTATATACTCCTATATGTAAAATTCCAAATTCTGCCATGACTATTCCTAGACAAGATACTTCTTTTTTTTCATTACCAAATCTATGCTGTTCTTCCAAGAGGGCTACCAGAAAAAAACTTAGCTCCAGTTCGTAAGTCTAGATGCCCGTATGAAATGGAAACCAATGCTCTGAAGAGCACAAAGAATCAATCGCTTGATCGGGTAAACTACTCACTGGAAACCTCTATAATGAATGCTGTTAATCAAAGAGAGGAAGGATCAGTCCCTGTAAACGTATTAAAAATGTCTTTGTGCCAGATCGTCTAACTAATGAGTTGGGTGCCAGGAAGAAGCTATTCGGAAGTCTAAAATCATCCACACTGATTTTGTGACTGAGTAAAACCACCCCCACATCTAGGGGTACTGAGGGAGAAGGGAGTAAGAAGGATTGTTGTTATTTTTCAAAAATATCCTTGGAATTCTTCCTCAAGAAGCACCCTCGTGAGACTCTCACACCGTATATCTCCTCATTAACTATAGAATTCTGGCAGTTCTTTCTCTTCACTCGTTGTACATTATTTTATTACTTTCTCTCATCTATTATTCAATTTTATTTGTATCATCTGCTCCTTTTCCTTTCTTTTTCATTTTTTTTTGTTTAATTTTTTTTAGGATGATGTCTTTTTCCAGGAGTGCTTTACTTTAAAAGCTATATTTACTTTACTTGAAAATCACAGCTACACAAATAAAGTGAAAGTGAGGGGGCAGAGGGAGAGGAAAAGAGAGAGATCATTCACCCACTCATTCACACCCCAAACAGCCACAAAAGATAGAGCTGGTCCTGTATGCAGCTGGGCGTCAAGGGGCCTGAGCACTTGGGCCATCCGCCACCGCACTGCCTGGCCATTAGCAGGAAGTTGGATAGGAAGTGGAGCAGCCAGGACTAGAACCTGGGGCCATATGGGATGCTGGCACAGCTGGCAAAGGGTTAGCCATTGTGCCTGTCCCTTCCAGGAGTGCTTTTAAGATTTTCTCAGACTTAAATTTACTGGAGTATTATTATAGTAAATCTAGGAGTGCGTTTCTTTTAATTTTCTGAGTGGGAGCCATTGGATTTTTGAAATGATAAATTATTGTTTCATTTCTAAAAAAAAAAAAAATCTCAGTGTTTATATCTTTATATTTGGCCTCTGACATCCACTCTTATTATTTTGGATTGGCAACTGACACACACTAGTCTTACTGTAATCATATCTTTTAAATCTCCATACTTTCTATCCCAACTGTATGAATTACAGGATGGATGCATTTTCTTTTGATGTATCTCCGACATTAATGCCATGTGCTTTAGCTCTTTCTAATCCACTATTTAAATCTATGTTTTAGGCATTCTTTGTTTTCACATGCTATTCCAATTTTAATTTCCAACATCCACATTGTAAAGATGTTTCTCACTTCCTAAGAAAAGTTAAGGCTTTGTTGCACAATTCATAATAGCTACAAGTGCCTTTTTGCTGCCTATTGTTTGCTTCTCTCATAAGTACTTGGTAATTTAGAATGGTGGTATAGTAGAGCTTTAAAAGCTACTGAAGAGTATTCACACAGGTCTAAAATAAAAATATCTTCCTAAGAAAATAATCTGTTTGATTCAACAAGAACACAAAGGTACTAAATTCCCAATTTATGATTTATGGTATCACTAAACTGACACAAATTTGAGCAGCAAAATCATAACACAAGCTCTTCAGGATGAGTTCCAATAACATTCCTGAAATGAACACTGGATATGATGCTGTAGTCTTCCAAAGACTATGAACGGCAGAAACACTTATAATCCCCCTTTACCGTGATGATGCCACCTATCTACATATCAATTAGTAAGAGACATGATCTCTTACTAAACCTCCCCACCTCTTACTGACAACGGTCTGACCTCTCTTGCCCCACTCAACAGAGGTATCAAAAGTGAAGTTCAAGTTTATACACAGAGGTAAATTCTACCAAGTACAGAACTCAGTGTTCTGTACTTGGCTCCTCACAGCCTCCAGGCTTTGCTTTGCAGTTAGTTCTCCATGTTAGTCTTGACCATCAGAACAAGGCTCTCCTTAAGTATTTTACACTCAACAAGGATCTCTTGTTTCCACCTAATAATCTTAACGATCATTTCTTGAAACATATGGGCTTTTTACTAATAACATTTAACTAGTACCTAGCCTTACCTTCTACTAAACTACTTTGAAGTTATTTAATGAAGTAAATCATCCTGAAGGAAAATGAGCCATGACCACTATAATCCATAAATCATAATTCAACTATCCATACTTCACCTGAGCTCCAGCAAACTGTAATAATCATAATAAGCACATTCAATTTGACATTCACGAGATCATGTTTACAAGGCATATATTAAACTATACTTGATAAATGCACCATAAAAATCATAGGTGCCCAAGCAAAACTTAGAGTTTAAAGACACAAAAGGAGAGGCTTCATTTCATTATATTTTATGTCATAATATAGTAAGTTAAAAGTGCAAGTGAATATTAGATTATGTCTACTGAAAACTAGAGTATAAAAGATTCTGGGAATTAATTTCACAAGATTTTTCCATATGAACATAACTAGTATTGTTAAATTTACTTTTAGGCATAATATATAATTTTCATCCTTAGAAATACATGGTTTCCTTTTGAATTTAGGATCTTCAGCATTATTAAAGCCAAAATATCTCTTTCAATTTCTTAGCTAAAATTCTCCCACTCACTTGTTCTAATATGTGATACACATATGAAAGCTAACTATATTTTAATATCATTGTTAACTAAAAATTATAAAATCTACTATTAAGAAAGATTATGTAATGGCAAATTAATACAACTGTTTTGCTGAGTATTTTAACAATAATATATTAAGCTATGCTAAATCTGTTATCTTGAATGAAAAATATTTAATATTTACTATCTTAAGATTAAAAACTAAGCAGAACAAAAGAAACTTTTATATTTTTCCAATTTGAACAAAAATATATTTAACAATATACACTGCACTAAACACTATCAGAATAGAAAGACTTATTCCATTCTTAAATAAGTTTTACTGTTTTATTAAATAATTAGCACTTGTTTTCATTAGAAAACATGATATGAAACACCTAATACTAATTTGGTACATTAACTTTAAGATTTTCTTGTATCCATTCACTTAATATGAAGTCACATAAAAATACACATACACATTTAAAATGTTTTAAAACAAGTACAATATTTTCTGTTTCCAAACCTGTCATTCTAATAAACATGCCTCCTATTTACTTAATACAATTTGAATATTTTATATTTAATATATTTACCCATTAAATTTAAACATTATCAAGTTTCATAATTATGTAAGAAAATTATCAACTCTAATCAATATTGTTAAAAAGACAAAACATAATTATCTCAAATATTTCATTAAAAAAAAGGTTAACAAAAAATATCCAAGTTTAAGTTATGCATTTTTGGCATTCACTTAACATTGCTGGCATTAAGTATCAGCCACAATTAAAGAAGACCATAATACACTGTAATTATACTTAATATGAAATCTTCCAAAGCAGCTCCCAAAAAGGCATTTAAAGCCAACATCATCAGTGAAAAGAAAAACTTAGTGCCTTGCCAAACACAGCATTGTGAGGTATCCTTTACCCCCACAATAGTCTGAGATTACTAAGGAGGGGGTATACCAATGATATTATAACAAAAGCAATCATTTGAGAAAATTAATACTGCACCTGCTACCAAACAGCTATGTATAGCAACGAAAGCGGGGACAGGGAGTGTCGGGGAGGAAGAACCATACTAGGAAGAGGGATCAAATCAACAGCATTATATGACAGATTAGCTTTAGTTAATCCTTAGGTGAATTAAACATTTTTCTTACTAAATAACTTAATGAAGCATCTTATTTTTAAATATATATTCAATACATACAAATGGATACACACATTAAATAACAGAGCAATGTTTAGTAAACTATAGTCCATAAATCTAGCTGGTAGCCTGTTTTTGTCAACCAAGATTTATTCGAATTCAGCATAAGCATTATATTACGCATCTGCATCTGATTTAATTTTAAGACTAGCATTCACTAGTTGCAACAAACACTACAACCAACACACCCCAAGACACTATTGCTTCACAATAAAATCTGCTGACACCTGCCAATAATGATTCCACATTAAACAGAAAGATATATCCAAGTTCAATTTTCCAACACTACAGGCTACACTTAAAATAATGCTCTAATATGCAATTTTGAAATTCTAAATTCTAAGCTTCATTTGAATTACAAAGAAATATCAATACTTCAGGTTACATAAATATAACAATACAGAAATATCTTAATAGTTTATATAAATAAAGGATATCTCATTGCTCCTTAAAAATAACTATAGCCAAATAGTATTTAGAGTTGCTTTATGCAAGTATGCTTTTACCTGCTAATGGCTTGTTCCTCGTCAGTTATTCCCGTCTCCCTGAATGCCCTGTTTGATTCCGCCAAACTCAAGGCAATTGCTCTCTGCAGATCATCTTTATCATCTCCAGTAAGATCAATCACATCTGAAAAGCAAAACTATCTTTCTCAAAATTAAGACAAACAAAATGAAAAGTACTGTTATCATGGAGATCTACACCAAATATATACTCTTACAAACCAAAGTCAGCACCATCTTACGTATCTATTTTTTTTAAAGCCTATTTTAAAAGGGAGTGGGGCAAATACATTTTAACTGATTATATGTGACAACATACTATTTTCATCTACAAAATACAGCTAAAGCAGAAAGAGCAGAAATACTGCAAAATAATCTAAGAATTTACTGAGGCCTTTTTAAAAGTGAAGCTGCTGAACACTGACAATGGCATATCAACAATAGAAGAAACACGTTATACTTTGTGAAATAAACTCAATTACATATGCATTACATTTTTTTACATCCTAGCAAACAGCTATCATCTTTAAAGTCATCATAATAATCATAAACATGTGGGTTCTCCAAAATTGGTGCAAGAGAAATTAATCATAGTTACATGCTAAACCAAAACAGGAAGACTGGAAGAAGGGGCCCAACTGTAAACGGGGGCTAACCACGACAAAACAGCAAAGAAAAAGTGTAAAGAAAAGACACTTTATATTTTAAACACATATGTAGCATTTTGACTTCTTAAAAAACATGCAGTTTAATTGAAAACAACATTCTCTTTCTAGAAGTACAGAAATGAATTAATTATTCCTCTTCTAACAACTTTGATTCTCCAAATAATGGTTATTTTTCCCAATAATAAAGGCTACAGCTACTAGTCCCCTTCGGTAATCCAACTCTCTCAATCCAAAAGGTGTGACAAATATTCCATTATTCTATTAACATTTAAACAAAACAGAGACAATGGTGTACCATCAGGTGAGGAAGGATACCAGGTTACAAACACATGGTAAGAAAAAGTGTGTTACGTTGGACACGTTTTATATTCATTTGGTTATCTGTATTTTAGACATGTTAAACTTTTTTTTTCTTTTCAACCCTCATAAACAAACAATGAGGGGAAGATGTTGGGCTTAGGAGCTAAGGCACCAGCTGGGAGCCCCCCATCCTGTGTAAGAGGATCTGGATTCACCCTGAAGCTCCACAGCCGATTCTAGCTTCCTGCTACTGCACATCCTGGGAGCCAGAGAACTAGAGCTGAGTCACTGCCTGCCACACCAGAACACACGCCTGAGCTCCTGGCTCGTAGTGTGAGCCTGGGCCAGTCTCAGCCAGTGTTGTAAATATGTGGGGAGTAAACCAGTGTATTATTCATGTTCATATTTGTCCTCTATTTCTCTCTTCCTCTTTCTCTCTCCTCCTACCATGGCTCTATTATCCTAATCAAAAACTTTAAACTTTTAAAAAATGTTATAAAGCTGTTGGGGGAGGGGGAGACAACAGACTACTACATGAGAAAAAACAAGCAAAAGGAAGAGACTGAAGTCAAAGTGCCTTTGTTTTACTACAGGCATAAACACAGAAAAAAAGCTCCACATTCAGTGACAAAAAGATAGTTTCAAATCTACTACTTCTAGTCACATTTCCTTCTTCACCATTAGATTACAATAATAATTAAAATAGAAAATTGGCCATAGAAAGTATATTTTTCTAAGTGTATTTTTCATTAACAAAAAGTATAATGAAACCTCATGAAAATGCAGGAAGGTTCAAGAAAAATCAATGAAGTAAAATATGAAGCACATTTATAAAGCAAAGCCATTGGACTGATGGTGCATCAGACACACGCCAGCAAGCTAAAGGCTCCGTGAGAATGATTACAAAACCCAAGTCCACTCACATCAGAACCATGTGGTGCCATCTAAATGCAGAATTCCAACTTATTCAAAATGCTGATAAAGTTGATGTTATTACTATAGAGTTATGAAATTCACAACACTCAGAGCCATCGTGGTCATTAAAATGGCAAGAAAAGGAAAGAAGAAATGATTCAAAAATCACAAAGCAATGCAGATTTTCGGAGCTATTGTTCTTCAGATTATTCTTACACCTTCCTGCTGTGCTTTCTTCAACTACAAACACTGGAAAACTTATGGTGGGAAAAAAAAAGTCTTCTTTGTTCACTTGTACTTGAGGCTCCAGAAAAAATTTAGGCTACACTGATTGGATGCACTGACATGGGACTTGGAAGACAGAACAAGGAGAAATCATCATCTAGCTGGCCGGGCTGCTTTCTCCAGCCTGACTGAGCACATGTCCCTTGATCCACAGCAGCTTTCCCATATTCAATGTGCAGCTTTGGGATGTCTAGTGATAGTGGTGGCAGCTAGACTCTGCATTCTGATGTCCAGGCACAATTCACTGGCAGTTGCCTTATCTTGGCTTTCTGTTCCCTGGGCTACAGCTACAAAGATGTTCTGAAATTTTGGAGTCCTACAGAACATTCCTGAGGATGGCAGAGGGCATAACTACCCTAACTGACCTGACCTGCAATGATTTTGGAGTCATTTCAGAAGGCTGAGCTGCAGAGCACTCTCTGATCCTTGCAGTGTTTTGTTGTTTTGTTGTTTGTTATTTTTTAACTCCCTTTGAAAACAGCTAGTGTTCACTGTTTTATGACTGACAAACCAGATGGAACAGAAACTTATATAAAAATACCATCTAGTTAAACAGTTTTTCAGTATTTAGCAATTGTAGTTCAAGCAACACAAAAGAAACAAGATGAGCTTTTAAAATATTTCATTAAAGTTAACTGAAGTTCTTTGAAATGAAATATAAGAATCTCAAATGGTACATTAGTATCAAATTAAATACTCCTCTCAATACAATTGTCATCCTGCCTTACTAGCATTAAGTGTGATCAACTGATTAGGAGTCTCCAAGACATTTTAAGAAAGGGGTTACCTTAAGTAATTATGTTATCGGATGTTTAGGACTCTTCTCCTGTGGTCACATGCGCAGTAACAAAGTGTAAAAGCACTGCAACTTAACACAAATCAAAGTAGCTACATCAGGCTGCACAATATTTGAGGCATTACTCCTCAACATTACACACATCATTTTGAGAAACTCAGTTTTAAGATACAGGAATAGATGAAAATATAGATTACTATCATTAAATCTTCAATCTTAGACCATGTTACCAAATCTTATAGAACAAGAAATATACACAAAGGACTTTTGTAACGTATATCTGATACATGCTACTGCTCAAAAAAACCACTAGCTACCTTCAGTGAAGAGTTGTAATCTGAACTGATTCTCTCCCTCGCCATATAGGATCCATGTCATAAAAAACAAATTTAAAAACTACATAATGATTATTCATAATTCAATTTTTGTTAACTATGTATAATATGAAATTTTCAAGCAAAATCACAATCCAGAAAAACTAGCCTTTGCTACTATAAGAATGACAGTTTTCCAGTCCTTAGTGGTTTTTAGGTTAAAGCAGCACTAGGATTTGTCATTTTATACTATAGTAGACATTCTCCTAACATTTGAAACAAAATATTTTCCAAATTACCAACGAACAGTGTCACAAATCTAAATGTGGGTTTAAAATAATCCATTCATATACGAAGACAAACTAATGGATTTTATTAACAGAGCACAAAAAGGTCAGGAGTTGCTCCATAGAATTACTGATGTAATTTCTAGTTCTGCATTTCAACCAATCTCTAAAAATGAATAGCTCTCAAATTTTACCACAGCATTTAAAGGAATATATCCAGTTGGGTAAGATAATCCTCCTTGAGCAGGCAATTAGAACAAAGCTGGGTTCAATATCTATCTGACTCTACTGCTGACTCCAGCTTGCTCCCAAGACAGCCCCCAGAAGTCTTTGGTGATGGCTAAGGTAACAGAATTCTTTACTTTCAAGTAGAAACTTGGGTTATGCTAAGGGCTCAGCTCAACGGCTTCCGGTCATTGGGGCTAAGAACCAGAGGACACACTCTGGCTTCCTAGTTTGCTCACTCACTCACTCTTGCTCTCTAACAAGTAACCTGAAGCACAACTACTCCTTTCTTTTCTGATTTTATCTTTATTAAGATATATGTTCTCATATTTAAAAGAATATTGCAACAGAACAAACACTCTTTAGAAGCAGATCTGTGACTCCAGCTCTTTCCAAAGCTGATGTCTGAGAACTGCAAAAATGTAAAACAAATCCTTAATTACTTATTTTGCTTCATAAAATAATTTGTGCAAACACTAAATCAGAAGTGTATTTTCATATAAATTAACATTCTAAGTTGTTCTCAGTTTGAATTTCCCATATAGAAAGTATTTTGTATACTAAGACAAAAACACAATGAGCTCCTCAGTGTCTATTATGACTATACATGGATTCTGAGACCAAAAACAAAAGAATAACTATGCCACATTCTTATACAAACTTTTTGTAAAAGGAATCACAAAGCAATCATTTTATTTGTAACAATTTAGGGTCCAGCACAGTAGCCTAACAGCTAAAGTCCTCGCCTTGCACATATCTGGATCCCATGAGGAACAACTACCAGCTATCCTAGCTTCTCCCAGTATCTCCAATAGTGAAAGTGTTCCATCTCTCACTGGAATTTGCACCTAGAGCCCCTGCTATGGATTAACAGCAATGGCCAGTGCTAGACAGGATGAGACCTGAGACCATCATCAACCCTTAACTCAAGAGTGGCATTGTCTTCCTTTACGAAGTGGAGAAAGCTTATCCATTATCTAATTATAATAAGCTTTTCCATGCTGTGCTCATTATTCCTTGAAGCCAATTCTTTCCATAGGGCATATTAGAACAATACAGCAAATCTAAGATAATCTTACCATCTATTCATTTGGAATTAGCAGATATTAAGAAGGCTAAATGTTATTTCAAGAGCTAATGTAGCTGGATCTCTCCTTTTTCTAAAATTAGAGCAACAAACATTTTTATTAAAACATACTGAATGAATAACTTTACAATGAAACAAGCCCCAATTTTCACCCACGCTACCCAAAGGAACAGAAAAGACACATAGCTATAAAAAATTTCCAATAGTTTAATTGAAGTCAAAAATTCAGATTTGACTTCTGTAAGCATTCTATTAGAATGCCA